GATCGTTTACAATGTACGTACCAGCAGTATTATTAATATAGTGCCTTTTTCCCCAAGTTGTAAAAGCAGAAACCATTAATATATTATTCACATGACAAGTGAAGCGGCGCTCCGGATCCCATTTTCCTAGTAATATTCAAAAACCAATATAAGTGAGGACCTAAAACCGATGGATTCCGGGTTGACGTTTTTCCAAGACGAAAGGACTTTCTTATAACTGGTTAATTTTTGTGATCTACCCGTGATTACCCATGATAATTAACCAATCAAATTATAAAATTTTTAAATAAAAAAAAATTAAAAAAAAAACTTCATAGAAAGAAGTTTATAAATTAGTAAATAAACGAAAGGAATTTATTGTATTTGTTTTAGAATATAATTATAAATTATATTATTATTTTTGAGAAAATTTATTACAAAGAGAAAGTATAATTTCTAAATTATATTATTATTTTTGAGGAAATTTATTATAAAGAGAAAATATAATTTCTAAATTCAAAAAGTTCAAAGTTTTAATTTCAATAAATTTTAATAACAAATCTAAATAAAAGATTTAATATAAGTGCTCCAGGGGGAACTTGTAAAGTGAATATTAATGTTTTTTCTTGTGATAGAATAAAATAGTTCCAGTAAATGGTTCACTATAGACATAACCTACTGGATATTCAGCGCAACCACCTAATAATTATAATATAAATAAATAAGAAAAGAACAATATTCTAATTACAAATTATTTTTAACTTACATTGTGCATCTGGTGTAACTCCGCCCTTAGTATTTAGAAGCATGAGATAAGTAATATCTGAAAATGCCCCTTTTCCTTTGGTACCCTGTTTATTTTTATAGCATAAAAATTAATTATGAATAATTGAAATACAATATTTAAATAATAGAGTTATGATAATTACAGTAATTTTGAAAAGCTTATTTTCATAATTTTTCTTTGGATCAAGTGAGGGAGCGACACAAAGCTGATTTAGGGAAATTGTTGAAGTATCATATTTGGGAATAAGAGACCTAACACTAAGGTTACCGTCTAAATTTTTATGAAAGTGAGAGTTAAGCAAGGTTAATATATAAAATAGGATCTTTCAGCAAATCAATCCAAATTAATTTTATTAATTAATATTTGGAATTGACAAAAAAGGTCTTAACCATCTAATTACATGCCTTCTAGATACACTGCAGCCACAGGTGAACTAGGATATTTGGCAAGATCTTCTTCGTTATTAAAATATAAATCACGATAATCAGTTGCGAATCCTAATAATCAAATTATAGTATAAGCATTACAAGTAATACATTAATATGTTAAAATAAGTATGTTATAAATACATTGATATGTTAAAATAAGTATGTATAATATGTACTTACCAGATGTCCAACCATCATTGGTGCATGTATACCAGAAAATTCCACCAGTATATACTACAAATTTAAAGACATTCTCGGGAGGAATAGAGAAATTTTTTGGAATATAGATATCTTTTGGATATTCTGTTTCAATTTATAGAAATCAGAAAGTATTGATCAGTGAATAATAATATTTGATAATAATTAATAGATAAATTTATAATATTTACCATAATTTCCGATTGATGTGGGAGTCTTAAATGGTTCATCACCTTTTCCGGTTGATGCGGAAATCTT